CTGCGCCCGAAATGGAGCTCGACACAGCGCATATTGACACCTCGCAGGGTGAGTGACACTGCCTTTTTTTTTTAATAATAATTTTCTACCTTTTTTTTTTTTTTTTTGGTTCTGCCTTGGAGATGCTCTTTGGCTGGGTGCTTCTATCTACCCTACCCTCCCTACCCCTTCCTCTCCGTCTCCCTACCCCTCCCTCTCTCTTCCACGTTGGGAATGGCATCATCTTTCTGAACTGCTATATGCGCTCTCCCGCTCGATCATCTTCCGCATCATTTATCTCTCTGTCTTCTCCTCGCCGGCCATCCAAAAATAACAACAGTCCCCCAACCCCCCTCTCCTCACCTTCTCCCCTCACATTTGCCGCGTTTCTTCCTCTTGTCGCACACCACATCCTCCGGGTCCATCACAGTGGCTTTCAATCGTGATATGTTATCTCACTTCTCTTCTTCTCTCTACTGCGACTGCGTCACACAAGTTACATTCTTCTCCTCGTCGTCCTCCGTCTCCTCCTTCTCCTCCGCCTCTTCCTCCTCTCCTTCGCTTCTTCCTCCCCCTTCTCCGCCTCTTTCTTCTTCTCCTCCCCCTCTTCCTCCCCCCCTGCCTTGCGTCGTCTTTCTACTACTCCGCCTCCACCTCTCTCCTCTTCCACCTCCTCCTCCGTCTTCCTGCTCTCCTTCACCTATTTCTCCTCCTGCTCCTCCTCCTTCTCCTCCTTTTCCCCTTCCTTCTGCTCCACCTTTCTCTCCTCCGTCTACTTCTCCTCCCCCTCTCTTTCTCCTCCCTCTCTTTCTCCCCCTACTCTTTTTCCTCTTCCACCTTTCTCTCCTCCGACTCCATCTCCTCCTCCTCCTTCCTCTCCTTTTCTGCCTTTTCTCCGCCTCTTCTCCGCCTCCTCTGGCATGTCATTGGTCTTTCTGCTGTTGCGTAATCGGTGGCATTTTCCTCCTGTCTTCTTCTTCGTCTTCTCCTTTCTATCATTGCACTGTCGTCTTCCTCCTCCTCCTCCTCCTCTCCTCCTTGTTTTCTTCCATTTTTTAATCCAGGTTCCCATGTCGGCACTGTCGTTCGTTTTACCCACCGCACCTCTCGGCACTGCATTGGATTGAAGGTCATTGGAGTGAGAAGGGGCCTCTCTTCACTGCTCTCCAAATGTGCAAGAGGAGACTGAATCTTGCGCTAGAACATGGAAAGATTCACCGACCTATTTTTGTCTTTTCTGCTTGTGGACAGCAGTGGAGCCGAGGCTCAAGGGTTGACTTGTCGTCTTTCTGTGACTTGTCGTTCTTTTTTTTCCCGTCTTCTCCCCCCCCCCCGCCCCCCTCCCCATCTAAAGCAGTGCAGTAATTTACTACAGTAATTAGTAATTACCCATGTGAGTCGTCTTTTTTTCCCTTTTTTAAAGTTTTTTTCCCTTTTTTCCCCCTCCACCGAGTTCGATCTGGATGCGATCTCACGTGTCTGTGTTTCAACCGTTCATGGGTGTACCAGCTGGGCTACAGTCTTCCCCCGAATACAACGTATGGTCATTATAGCTGAATTTGGCGTATCTTTCGGTCTAAATTCAGCTCTAATGACCGTGCGTTGTATTCGGGGGAAGACAGTAGGCATATAGACATATAGATAGAGATGAAGATAAACAGTCACATGCAACGGAGTAAAACACACAAAGATGTGACAAAAGTCCCATACAGAGGATTAAACCCCAAAGATGTGACAAATGTACTTGATACACAAATAGTTCGATGAACGCAACAGGCGTCTGGTGAAGCAGACAGTCTAGGTGCAGAAAGGATAGGCCTCGCTTGATTGACTACACGACGTTCTACATGCATCTGGATACTCTTGTGGGCCCGATACATTCAAAATGGCGGATTCGTCCGAATGCACTTGTTGATCCAGAAAGCGTCCAAATGCATGTAGAGTCCTGTCGAGTGGAGCGAGGCGCAATATTACCACCAAGTATAACCCCTTCTTTTTTTGGATAGTGGAATTTCTGCATGCCTTCTTTTTTTTTTTTTTTTTTTTTTTTTTTTTT